ACTGTCTCGAATATTTGTCAGGGGAGCCGTAACACGGAAGAAGAAAAAACAATGAACATTTTTTTTTAAATGTTATTTGTTTGTAATAATAATAATAATCAAGTATACCTATACTAGCTCTAGTCAAATATACGATATGATTTAAAAAAAATATATACGTTTTGTTTGTGACCACCAATAACCGGTTGTTAAAATGTTAGTAATAAACAAATAAATATTGTACGTTCTACGGCACAGGATAAAAGGGATTACTTAGTTATTTATTACCGTCCATCTGCTACACCCCATCGACGCTCACCACCGGTCGACATAAAAATGTTCACAGTAAAGGTTTTGTTCGCTCCTTCAGTAAGAGAGAAGTATATTCTGCAGGGAAAAATTATCTTTCTAATGTCATGCATGTGTGCGTGCGTGAGTCTTCGAGTTCAGTTAAAAACAGGGAAATTAAAACTGTGTGTCGTGGTTTTATTGTAACGTCGTGCGATATTGTAAAATCTGTATAATTGCAAAATATATATTGTTTATTATTATGTTTGAAAATTTATGATATTATATTGGCTGTAATATTATAAATGTACTGCAGTATTATATGTTTTAAAATATACTTAATAGGTGCAGTTGGGTGTGGTTAGGAGTGTTTTTAAATCTAGCATATTATTTATACTGCGATTTCGATTTATTTTAATTGCAATTTTCACATATTTTTTAAGCGATTAAATAAATTCGATTAATCGAAATCTTGTAATGTTATTTACTAACGAAACAGGATGAGGATAGTAGGTAGGTAAACTGTGTAAATTGTTACGAACCACTTGCCACCTCACCCCATCCAACCCCACAACCGGTCTACACAGAGATGTCTGCTGAAGTTGTATTATTGTTAAAACTACGTGTGTACTTGACTAACAAAGAAGAATATTCCGAGGGAAGAAAACCTACCAGTCGAACAGGTGAGCGTGTTCTTGCGCATGCGTGAGTGTTCAAAATGCGTTTGCAGTTGTCTGGAAAAAAATGCTAACGTCGCGTCGATAAGCCACCTGGCGCAGCCATCCGTGCCATAAAACCTGCAATAGCACATTTGGAAATCCTTACGCGTATTGTTGGAACGAGCGATAAATATTGAAATTCTTTTGAATAAAGTAAAAAATATAACGAATGTCAATGGCGCGTTTTAATGCTGACCCTTGAATAAGCTGCTGAATAGTATGGTCATAATAAGTAAAATCAATACACAGTATCAAAAAAAAAAAATTAAAAACAGTTTTTTTAATGACAATTGATATCACAAATTCTACGACTCGAGTATTGGGTACTTCAGTACGTAGTAAGAGTACGTGATTCGTAAAATTATAGACAGAGTAGGTACCTCTAGTTAGGGGTTAAAGTGAGGAGGGAGCATGCAGGAGGACTCAGTCCCCTTGCCTCTGACGGTGGTTAAAAAGCATCCCTTAAACAAATTAGGATTTTGTACATTAGACATTATACATAAAATCATATATGGAACGCTTAAAACTAAATGAAGACATTAGTCCCCTCTGGACATTTTTCCCACCTTAAACAATGCTTCTAGTCTATGTACAGTGCACAAACCACCCATTGCACATTAATGCAATGCTGTATCCACAAATCGGATGATGTATAAGACGTGTATAACGGATGACGATTGATGGTCGGTTTTAAATTATTATATATTTGTATAACGTTCTTTTTACTATAAATTTCTTACGACAAGCCATATCGATAGTTATATTAATTTATAGTGGTGCAATAATAATGACATTTTGGTTTCGGGTTTCGTCCTTTTTATTTGCGAAACTAGTATGTGTTTTTTTCTCAGGAAATAGTTATTGTTAACGACAAACGACACAGTTATAGATACACAGTTTAGATAAACCTGTACGTCTATACTAATAGTATGGATCTATCAAACATATATTCTTTCTCACGATTTTATTATAAGAAATATTGATTAAAACCATTAAACTGGTTACACACTGAGCGATTTGTTCGCTCAGGAATTGACATGAGTGGTTGCAGGCGGTTGTCCGCGACGCTCGGCGGCATGGTTTTACATGTATGAATATGCCTAATAGGCAAATAACCCATGTTTAATTGTAAGCGGTTATCCGCCGCGGATAAAAACCGCGACCGCGCGCGGACAAATCGCTCAGTGTGTAACCAGCTTTATGTAGGTACTTTGGAAATTGTTTACCATCGACAACGATCGACAACCGAACGCAATATGGCTATAATACACTTAAAAACTAGTTAATACACAATAAATATAAAATTATGTTATTTTATTTTTTTTGGTAATTCCATTGATAGTTTGAAAAAATAGCACTTAGCTTCTTGGAACCTTTTAATAATATGACCTTCATGGAACCCTATGGTTCTGTGGCACACAGTTAAAGACAATTTTATTTTTTAATAGTGATATTTTTTAAACATGAATATTTAGTGGCCACCGTGGAGTATGTATTATATTTGTATATTTATCGTAGAAAAATACCTAAATATTTTTTTTTTTGTACTTAGAATAATTTTCTTTTATTATTGTTCAATAAACATTGCGACTGCCGTAGTGCCGTGGAAGTAATACAGTAGTGATTTCTATCTCAGTTGCATGGAACAAAACAGTTTCATCCTCAAGCAAGAAAAATCGGGGTTCCGCGATACAAGTAAACATTATTAAATGTATACAATCTATAACAATGTTTCCGATGATAAAAAAAAACATTAATAAACGCCGGTCTATACTCTACATAGTTATATAGATATTTTGAAATCTAAACGGTGGTATATGATGTACTTATACCTACCAATTCAAATATTTATAACGAACAACCTACAGTCTTATAATTGTCTGCAGTTCTGATAAAACCTTTCTATAATATAATTATTTTTATTTTCAACAATTAAATATTTTACAAAATAGTTACAATATTACAATACAATTTAATGCAGTCGGATTGTATTATATCTCAAGCAGAAAACTAGACAAGACTTAACTTTTTCAAAAAAAAATCTAGTTAGTAAATACATCGAGGATCCAAAAGAAAAACACTGGACAGCAGTGAAACGAATTTTAAAATATTTTAAAAGTCACCTCGTGCTTCCCCGCTTAAAAAAAAAATGTACTTCAAATATACTGGTAAAAGTAACAAGTAGGACAGACCTACGGGATTTAACTTGACTAAAAAATACGTTATAGACAGTTATAGCTTGGAAGCAATGAATAATATAATATATTTTTATTATAATGTGAAGTGTGACTAAGTATTTATGTGATTCTATTTTTTTTTTAACAATGTTATCATATTGGTATCTATCATACTTATTAGTTGTAGAACTGAGTATAGTTGAGCAAATATAATGAAATAATAACGTTAAAAATTTTAAATTATCTACACCGATCCTCCTTAAAGTCTAGATGAATAATGACAATTTCCAAAACTCAAAAATATGATTTGAACAGTAAATAATGTTTATATATGGTCGCATACTCGTATGGAATTAATGTATATTTTTCGCAGAAACATATAGGTACATGCCGTGCCGTATACATATATATATAATATATATACATACCTGTACAAATATATATAAATACATTTTATATATGAGAGGTATAATAGGAGAAATAACCAATTTAATATAAATGTAATAATAATAATGATATAATTCACCGATTTGCATGTGTATGAACGGGCAATAAAAAAAAAATAAAACCAATGCAATAAAGTCTTGACATTCTGCATACTTTCTTTTATAGACCTACAACTGCATGTATGTGAAATTACACATTATAGTATTTCCAAGGCACCGTTTTTTATTAATGAAATTGAATGGCACATATCAGTATCAAGTTCACCAAATATTACAATAAATAATTATATCACCTGTCAATTATTAGTTAATATACCTAACTACTTATCAGTCATTTAAAATAAATTATAATTTATGACGTACTTTACATAATATGTATTATATTTAAATATTGTACCAACCCATTAGTCAAATTAATAAATTCTACGTAACATTAAATGTGTCTTGATTAAATAATTATTATTACAATACTAATTTAAATAAAATATTACTTAGAACACGAATTATCCCTGTGTGCAAAAAGAAGATGTTGAAGTCTATGAGATGACCGTTTTAAGTCTCAAATGTAACGACACATTGTAATATCTATGTTCGGGCTAATCGATGTAATGTAAAAAAAAGTTAAATAGCGATATCTATGAAATATCGTGGCCCAGTGGTGTATGAGAAATCACTATGTAATGTAACATAGAAGTTACAATAGTGACATTTAAAACATTAATTTGGGTAAAATGCGTTTTTATTCTATAAATAGATAGTGATGTCTCATAGTCATCACATACGACATACGTACTGCACGATATATTTATATACATATAGTTATAATATGATAATATGTAATATTGTACATTATATATATTATAATAACATCTAGATAACGTGTGTGATCATTTTTTAGTTTATTGTCCTATTTTTTCCCGCGTCTTAATTGCTATTCGCTCGCGCGCACTGTTTACAGCTATTTACTTGTGTTACCTTGTGTTTTTGAAGTTTTACTGCTAAGTAGTAAGTGACCAACAACATTAAATTTACCTGTTTGGCACTTTGGCAGTTCAAGTTAAATATACCTATCAATTTTATTGAACATCGCTGTTTCGTGTTCGGCGTTTCCATCGCTACCTATATATTGTTAAATATTAAAATATGTCTTCAAAACAGGTAATTATTTTATGATTAAATCAAGTAATTATATTTAATTTCAAATTGGTGACATAGTGCCAATGTAAAAAGCATTTTTTACTAAATAATTTGGTACCCATAATATATTATGAAGATATTAATGTGTTTATACAATTTTACCCTAGGTATTAAAATTATTTAATACAATATATAGGTACCTACCTTATATTCATATTTATGATACTTATTAGAGCTATTAATAATTTAACTTTTTTAGTACCTATATTGCAAATAATTATGTTAAAGGTTAACCTTTAGGCTATCAATGGTTAATATCTATCAACAAATATAATCTAATTAGGTATTGTTTTTTACTCATATATTGGAGATTTTCATTTTAGTCACCTAGGTACCTAACACAGAAAATGGAAAATTTGTTAAGTGATGTATTGACTATAATTTTATTTTATTTTAATTTAAAATTACAAAACACTCTAGTCTTTTGTTTATACAAGAAGATAAATTTACAATAGTTTAACTACCTACTATAATTGTTATTTAGTGGGTTGTTGGTTATTTTAACGATGAGAACAAGTATTCAGTTATTCCACACAACTGGCTCATTCAATGTGGTACAATGTGGATTTCTAGATGGCCAAAAATTGGTAATGTCAAAAGTATGATTGCCGACTATGCTGACATAGGAAACGATTGGCCAACGTACCCTGTTAAAATTGTTTCACAGTTTTACAGTAAGCAAATTTAATTTATTTAAATCAATTTAATAATATTGAGACTTCAAAAAATTATAAGTAAATCCAGAGATTTGAAAACATCTGTTACATTTAAATCCTTCCTAATTTTTTTTTGTACCTATACATTTTTAGACACCCAAAAAAGGTATGCAGTATTATAAATTTTCCAAATAATAAGAATATTTTATCTTAATGTGGGACGTGGGTGCCTTAGCTATTTTTTAAAAGATACAAGATCACAATAAAATATATTTTATGAATTTTTAATGTTTTATTTATCTAATCAATAATCAATGTTTGGTATTTTATATTTACTTAGACACTTATGATGATGCCGCTATAAAAGAGAAAGAAATTTTTATATCAGCTTCAGCCTCGGAGTCTGAATGTGATGGAGGTTACAGACGTCTTAAGAAACAAAAAATATGTAGTAATAACAATACTCAAGATGAGAGTGACAGTAGTAAGTTATCACTTAATCACAAAATATATATATTAACGATAAATATGAACTAACTAATAAAACAGTTAATATTGGTTATTACCATAGGTATTAATAAAATAAGCTGTAGTTACTACTATAATGTATGTTGAACTTATATTATAATAATTGTATTGACAAACAACAGACATTGGTAAATACTAAATTATAAATGATTTAAAGACATGAATAATCCATAAAAGTATATAACTGATGTCTGATTAGTCGCATATAATAAAGAATGATCTAAGGATTCAAACAAATTCCAATGTTTTAAATCTTATCTCTTATATTTAAATATTGAACTGTTCAAAATATTTAAATAGTTAAAACCTACATGATACTTGGTATTATTGTGGTATGCTCATTTGTACTTTTTATTGTTGTAGCATGCAGCAGTACTCCAATGAGTCCAATAAAAATAAAAACACCAATAAAAAAAAAAAATAATAATTCCATTGTAAACTTTAACGTAGAGTCTACTAAAACGAGTCCGGAAACATTCTATCAATCCATATCAAGTATGTACCAAAATTCTAAATTAATAGTCAATAGTGTCCTATTTATGTTGTAATAAATAAATTAAAATGTTTAGATGCTATAAGTGGTTGTTATGAACCGCAAGAAGATCAATGTCATGAACTAATGCCACTGCAAGAATCAGATAATGGTGTTTTGTCATGTAAGTATATACTTTTAACTTATCACTGTTCATAACGTGTAAAGTTTTTAAATCTACAATTATCAATATTACTGTTTACCATACAAAATTATAAAATTAATTTTAATTTTAATTCATTTATTATTAATTGATTATATTTTTCTAAAACTAAATATTTTAAGACAATATGATAACATTTTTGATGTTGGAATTCTTGAAAAAAATTTATTTAACTCCCAGGTTTTTTATTTTAGATAAAACTAAACTAAAATTCACTTACATTGTTTTCAAATTTATTCTAAATATAATTATTCTATCTTAATTTTTATTTACTATGGTGCATTTTGATAAATAAAATAAAAACATGGAAGACATACATTTTACTTTATAAAACCACACTTCTAATTATTAAGTTATTTACTTCCCATTAATTTTCTACACTTAATATTTTTACAGTTGACCAAATTCCCAGTGAACAAAATAATTTGCTTAATATTTTGATTGAAAAAATTTCAACTACTCTTACTTATGTAAAACGAATCGATGCACAGTTAGACTTGATAGAATCAAAATTAAATTCTGGGTCTTCAATGGGAATCAATGAAAATGATTTTTTCAGTTTCATACCAATGAAAACAATTGAGAGTCTTAATGAAATAGAAAGCAAAATTAAATCTGATAATGATTTTGAAAAAAAAGTGGCAAGTACTACATATATTTATTAATATAGTTAATAGTATTAATTTTTACTTGAATTACAACTTGTGTTATAGGTTAATTGTGTGATCCAAATAGGTGGATTGAATGCCCAAAATTTTATCAAAAGAGTTCTAGCTAGATTTTTTACCAACGAATTAGCGACCAAGTACTCATGGACAGGTTTCAGAAATAACAATAAGTTAGAAAACTTAGAGATTATTAAAATTATAAAAGGTAGTTATAGTTTTTGTATATGTATTATATCTTATATGTCTGTGTACACTGTGCAGTGTAAAATAACTAGTGACAATTTGCAGGGGTGTGCATGAAGACATTCAATGGAACCGACGTAGATTTTGAAACCCATACAAAAAATTGGTTTAGGCATGCTAGCCTACGTCTATCACGAGAAAAACAATGATTTGATTTAACATTATTATTCAATAATCAATATATGCTTTATTTTATCATAATTATCCGATTCCTTTTATATTGATATTATATAAGTTATAATAATATGAAATACATTTTTTAATTAATTATTAAACAATTTTAACCTTGGTGTAAAAAGTATAAACACATTAATTCATGATTAACAAATAAATTACACATTTATATCAGATTGCATATTTTTATTTAATGTTCCTAGTCATTAAACAAGTTTTTTTTTTTTGTAATATTAGATTAGGAGAAAAAAAAATGTAAACTCATTATCTAGAAGACATTTATTAAGATGTGTACAAAATGAAATAACTGACAAGCTATCAAGATCAACTAATCATCAGGTTGTGGAACCTCAAGTACAGGCCGATCCAATACCATCAAGTCAACCTAATGTTCATTTAAATTTAACTTCAACAAGTAGTATGTTACAACCATTAGATCAACAATTTGTCAATAATTCTAGTATAACAGTTAATAGCAAAGATTTTTTTGATGATTATATTTTATTGAACCATGAAAGAATAGAAAAAACTTCTCTAGATGTTAAACTATGTAAATGGATAGTTGATTTTCATGTTTCACATAACTGTGTAAATGCTCTCTTATTAATTTTAAGATCAGAAGGCCTTGATCTCCCTAAAGATACTCGAACTTTAATAAAAACTCCTAAACCAAATGATCATACTATTATAAGTATTCATCCAGGATCGTATATACATCTTGGTATCGAATTTATGTTGTCTAAATTCATAACTGCACATCTGGAACATTTTAAAAATGACCAAATACAACTAGCAATGAATGTTGATGGTTTGCCTCTAACGTCTAGTTCAAAATCAAGCCTTTGGCCCATTCTTATATCATTTGTAAATGTACAAAATGTATCACAAACTGTAATTCCAGTAGGACTGTACCATGGAAAATATAAAAAGCCAACTTCAAGTAATGATTACCTTAGACCGTTTATAGATGAGATGAAACACTTTTTATCTACTGGTATAACTATAAATAATAACATTTTTAAATTTGAATTAGTTCAGGTTGTATGTGATGCCCCAGCGAAAGCTTTTGTTTTAAACGTTAAAGGCCATAATGCATATCATGGATGTAATTCATGTACAGTCGAAGGAGATTTTATTCATAATCGAATGGCATATTTAGATATGAACGCACCTTTAAGGACAGATCAGTCATTTCGTACAAAAATAGATGAATTTTATCATAAAGATGTTAGCCCACTTGAATACTTGCCCATTGATATGACTTCTTCTGTTGTATTAGAATATATGCACAATGTTTGTTTGGGTGTTATGAAGAGGTTATTGGCATTTTGGGTAAAAGGTAACAAATCAGTGCGTCTTGACAATCCTGAAGTTATTTCTGATGAATTAAATAAAATAAAATCATTTTTTCCTGTTGAGTTTAACCGTTTACCAAGGACTTTAGAAGAATTTGAGTACTGGAAAGCTAGTGAATTTAGAACATTCCTTATTTATACAGGACCAATTGTCTTAAAAGGACGAATAAAAAACTCTTTTTATAAACATTTTATGCTTTTAAGTTGTGCCATAAGATTGTTAATTTCCTTTAAAACTGCATATACTTATAATAATTTTGCTAAAATGTTATTAAGACAATTTGTAACTGAATATTCTGTACTCTACGGTAAAGAATATGTAGGTTACAATGTACATGGCCTTATTCATATTTGTGATTTTGTGTTACTGCATGGAAACTTGGATGCTTTTTCTGCATTCAAGTACGAAAATTATTTACAGTTTGTAAAAAAAAGTTGCAAAAATGCTAGATATCCTCTTCAAGATACGTATAACCGTATAATAGAACAAATCAATACTACGTCAACTTGTACTGTAAAAAAATATCCTATCCTCAAAAATGAAATAGATTATGATCCTTCAGTAAATAAATCAATTAATGAAACATTTTATAAAGAAATTGTTTTAGAAAATTTTACTATAAATATGAGTAATTCAAAAGATAATTTAATTTGCACTAAAGATCATGGTATTGTAAAAGTTATCAATATAATTAAATTCTTAAATGGTAAGATTAAAATTGAAGTAATGAAGTATAATACATCTATAGTATTTCAAAATCCCATTTCGTCAGATATTATAAAAATATTTTATACTCATGAAATTATTCCAAAGCCTCCTTTAACTTCAATTGATGTTGACTCTATAGAATATAAGTGTTTTTCATTTCCAATAAATGACCATAAGTCAATTGTTTTAGCATTACTGCATTCTACATAATTGTTGTTTCAATCTGTATAAGTTTTTGTTTGCTTTTGCTTATACAGTATTGAGTACTTATGTCTATAAATTAATATAGTTACCTAGTTTTTTTTTTTAATATATTCAATTAAAGTAGGTATGCTAGGTACCATCAGTTAAAATTTATATTATTCTTGTAAACATTCGTTTTTGTGTACCTACCCGTCCTACCCACTTTATTTTATTTTATTATCATGCCTACATTTATTATTTTATACATTTGAATTATTTTCTCTAAATTGTATGATGGAAATTTAATTTTATGTTATTTATTATAGTATATTAATATACATTAAAACTGTAAAATGTATATAATAGTTTTAAATAAAGTTATACTTTTTATGTTTTTAACGATCGTTCAATAATATTGTTATTATAAGTTTTAAAGTAAAATAATTAGTTATTTTATTTAAAATATAATTTTAAGCTGTAATATTAGATATCTACCTACTAATTTAATGTCTTATTAACAGGTAATATTTGAATAGGTTAATACTATAATATAGGTACTATATATTATATAGTATAAACCTGCATTATTATTAAGGTCAACAGTGGCATAGTGACTTAATTTTGCCAACAATAACTGTGGGTTACATTTTTAATCTCTGTTTATAATGTTTATATACACCAAACTGCTACATATTACACATCTCAGTAGCGTGTCCCTGTAGGTTAGGCGTAGGTCCATTAGGTTAGGGGTATCGGGTTCAAATCCGTCATCAAGAAATGTGGAATGCGCTTTTTTTTATTTTTTTCCTAGCATCCACTTTGGCTGTGTACTCTATGCGTAGTCAGTGCGATGTAACTGGCTAGTCCCATATATCTCAACCTGATTGCTTATGAATGTTACAATGTGACGTAACATAGACCATTATTTTGCGACATCGCATGCAGTAACTTCACAAGATTGGGCATTAAGCGTCTCTGGGTTATCTCAGTGTCGTCTCTGAGCTCAAATATTGAACTTCACATGTCTCGGTGTGACTACTAAGTTAAAGCTATGCAACTAAATTTTGCACACAGGGATTAATTTTAATTTTTACCTTGTCTAAAGGTAAGTTTCACTATGTGCGATCGCGATCTTGTGTTCTTGGTTTAATTGGACAACACTACTTTGTGATCAATAGATTTATAATTCATACTGCACATTTGCATCGTTCTAAATTATAGTTTTGCATGTATAAAAATAAAAGACAATAGTACAGTACAGTGGAGAGTAGGGTTCTAGGGTTCTGACCCCCCTGAAATATCTTCTTTCTACAAAAAATTCTTATTTACCACCATTTCGATACACAGAGTAGATCAATTATTGTTCATTTTTAATAGATATAAAATAAATTGTTAAATATGACTAAGACATCGATAATCATGGTTTCGGTTTTTTTTGTTGATGCTATAATTGTCGTATAATATATGATTATGTTTCATCGTTCTTTGAATTTTTACCACGTTTATTACGGCCCGGAGAAGCGACCAGGTTAAACCACTTTATTAAATTACTAAATGTAGACTAAATTTGATACTAAATATAATTTGATATAACTAATTATATAAAAACTGTTAAGCAAAAAATAATGTAAATTATTTACCTGCTCAGTTAAAGCACTAATCGAACTAAAATCCTGCGTTACCTTCTGGTACAGAATAGAAGTTTTTTTACCAATGCAACTAGTATTATCAAGTCTTAAATATTAATTTTTTTTTATATCAAAATATTTTTTGTTTAAAAAATGCCTTACTCAAAATTTAGTTTAGGGAAATTTTGTAATTATTTATTATTAGCACTGTAAATTTGAAGGACAGTCCATTTTTTTTTTGGTGATTGTGAAACGTAGCTTTGTAAGTACATAATTTGAATTATGTACCTTCAAATCCATTTATGCGACTTTTATTTTGCATTTGTTGACATTTTTAATTGCTTAGGCCATTTTTAGGTCATATTTTCCTTTTTTCGTTCATTTTCCAGTATTTTTAATCAAATTCCGTTTATTGACCGAAAAGGCGAAAAATGTTAGAAAAAAATTTGTTTTTGAACACGGGATGTGCACAACTTAATTAGTTATTTGTTAGTTATTTATATATAAAAATTTTTAAAAAATGTTTCAGGTAAATAGCATTAAGTTTAGTAAATTGAAATTCATTCAACATTTTTATAAATTTTTTTTATGAAATAAATACTTTTTTATGCGTGTAATGTACTAATGTATAATATCTTGTACCTAATATTAATATAAATATTAAAATTAAATTAAAAATCATTTTAAATTAATTTTATACGGTTTAGCATTTTATTGCCATTTTTAATGCATTTTTTAAAGTCCTTTAGTGCATTAAATTCATAACCTTATTTATTATATATCTTGTGTACATTCTTTATAAGTTAAATTTGTTTAAAAGTTATAATCAATTATTGTTTATAGGTTATTAATATGTACGTAAATTTACTTATATATTTAAAATATGTAATATTTTAAAAACATTATCTTTTTTTATATAACCATAAGAACTCTTACCTCCATCTCAAGCATGGTTAAAGAAGCAGAGCAAATTTATTGTGCTAATTATGTATCTTATATATGTCCAATGATAAAGTTGCAAATAAATAAGTAAATATGAATCATTATATTATTTTCAATGAATTTATAAAAAATTACATTTTGAAATAAAATAAGGTAATTTACATAAGTAGGATGTACAAATGAAGTATAAATTAATAAGTAGTAATTAATTCGAGTGAATGGCATCGATCATGTCACCATCTATAATTGAAAATGACAAAGCAGTATCGGTACTAGAAATTCTTCTCCCATCAAACCGGAACACCACATCTGTCTCACGAATGTTCTAAAATATTAAAATTTTGAATGAATTAAAAAAATATATTGTAGTTATAAACCATTAAGCAGGCCCATAGGTATAGTTATAATACTAGCCATACAGAAAAACAAAAAATATCAATATCAAATTCAAATAATATTATTTTTTTAAATTTAATAATTATTCATCATTGACGAATCTTACACATACAATGCTCACCGTATTTTTATACTATTTAAAAGGATGCCACATCCTGTTGACAACACACACTGTTGAAAGTTATCAAGCTTATGTGTCAAGATTTATTTTTGTGACTTTTTACTTGTAGAACGGTGTATGGCAGAAGCACAAATACGTCATTTTAACATTAATACTATGTTATAGTAATACTAATAAAATAAAAGGTCTCGGTTACCCATGGAAAAATTTACTTGCTACTCCGTTCTACCAAATGTCCTTTATGTACTAGCATAGGCCAACGGGTACACATCAAGAATTGATGATCAGCAGACTTTTTTCTCTGCGTGTTGGAAATTGTACTCTCTGGAGAGTGAAATGTTTTGGTTATCATTATTGGTATAAAAATGCTAACGACTAATACTTGTCACAACTGTGCGAGTTTCATATCTCAAACGAAGTAACACTAGTTACTCATGTTAGGGCTTGGAAGTTGATGCATATTGCATTTTTTTTTTTTTGGAACTTTTTAGACGATATTGTCTTGGCTACAAATGTGTTTCATTAGCATGTTAATCTGAGCAACTAATTTTTTTTTGCACTTTCTGCATTTTTTGGCGGAAAAAATTTACTATTGAACAATATATTTCCCTTATAAAAAATAAAAATGGTATAGAACGCAAACATTTAAAACAAAGCAAAGTTTTCTTACTACGACGTCAAAAAAATCTACTTTTAATTACGATTTATGTCGAGCTCTTTTATTAGCCAATATTCCTCTACACAAAATATCAAATGAATTATTCCGTACATTTTTGGAAAAATATTATTAATTATTCCTAACGAATCACGCAAGAAAAACCTATGTTGCTGAATGTTACGATTTGTCAAAATCACTTCAGTGAACGTGAAGAGAAGTTTTTCAAAATATAAATATTTATTAGCAGATAATATTCGTAAAGTAAATCTTTTGATAACATCAAAAAAGCTCTAATTGCAATGATTTTAAATTTTAAGTAATTTGTTTTTATTTCATTTTTAAAGACATCATTTGTCATTTGTAGGTCATATTTTGAGTAATTTCAAATGTGTAAGCTTTGACAAATATATAATATACAATTGTATAGTAAAATATTTAAAATAAATATTTGCATTTTTTAATGTTTTTAAGGTGAAATACATCCTTTTTAAAAATAATTTATTATTACAAATAGACAAAATTACATGGGCATTTAGTCTATAATTCAGTGACTATACATTTAATAATTCCAATTGCTAATACTTTTTGATAAAAAAATATTATAAAATACTATACTTACATTTATTTCACAATATGCTGTCATTATTCTTCCAAGTGGGGTTGTCATTTTAACACGGGCCAAAAATCTACTTGCATCAGGACTCAGAACTGTAATACAGATTATCCTATTCATGATGGAAGAAGGAGCATCGACATTTGTTGGAGTTTTCTATAAAATAAAACATTATTTTAGTATTTATTGGGATTTAACAATGAACACAATTAAAATTTATACCAAATAATTCACAATCAAATGTTCTAATTTTCAATAGACTCTAGTAACATTAAATTACTTAAATAAGAAGTAAGTAACACCTTTTTGTACATAATCCATATTTGATTTCTATGATTCACACAATTATTAACTAATAAAATAGGTTAGTCTTCAGAAGTCAGTCAACTTATTGTGCCAAACATAATAAACCTTAAAGGAGCACACAACACAAAAAATAAGTTTTTTTTATTTGAAAGAATGTTCAACTCACATTATTCAATAAATTATGAGCAATTGAAAAAAGACGTGTGACGTCACTGGGCCGGAGTCATTGCAATTGCCTATCTTATACGTGTTATATATTTTTGCAATTTAATTGACGTATAAATGTGTGATTTTATGTGTTTAAGACGATGCAAGTATCAGAATTGCAATACGATGTTTAGTTTTTTAAATATTAAAAATCTTAAAAGAGACATTTTGGTTAAACCGCACGTCATGGCGAGCGGCGCATGGCGTTCGAACGGGTCCGCCATTTAACCAAAATGTCTGTTTTAAGATTTTTAATACTTAAAAAACTAAACGTCTTATTGAAATTCTGATTCTTGCATCGTCTTAAACACATAAAACCACACATTTATACGTCAATTAAATTTCAAAAAGAAAATATTTAGGTTGATAAATCGTTGTGTGAAGCAAGGAACTTTTACACGTATAAGATAGGTAATTACGATGACTCCGGCCTAGTGACGTCACGCGGCTATTCTACATCTCTTAATATCTCTTAAAGTAATATTTTTTTTTACATCGTATCTTCACAAAATCATTTCATATAACCATAACTACAATAATTTAACATTTAAAAAAAATTTAAAGAATTTTTTTATTTGTGTTGTGTGCTCCTTTAATGATGATCATAATTGTCACACTATTGAGGTGGGTCCATGATGGTGACAAATTTCAGGTTCGAGCAGTGGCGGTTTTGGGATTCAATTTTGACTGAGGCGACTAAAAATTTACATACATTTGTCATTTATGTATGAAAAATTAAAAAATAAAAACACAAACTAATTATAGATACAAAAATTTGACTAGAAAAGATTAGCCAGTAGCTAGTTACTAGTTACTTGAAAATATAGCTACTGCCCACTGTTGCCTAGAATGTACCACTTAGAGGTTCTTTCCGTACATTTCTTGATACTGTACATACTTTTATTTATTATTTACACTATTCATATTTACAAATTTACATGTTTTTACACGGAATAGATATTTACATTTTATTTATTTACATTTTTGCTTCAACTGAACTGTTAGTTTAAATAATTTTTTAATCAAACATTTTAAAATATTATGATTTATATAAGATCAATATTTCTATTTTTTTTATTTGCATAAATATTTATAATTTCATCGTAAAATGCATCTTTGTTTTTTAGAGTTTCGATTAATTCTTTTTCGATAGAAATTATTGAAAGAGAATTCAATCTTTCTTGAGAAATAGTATTACGCAGATATGTCTTAACTCTCTTTAAACAAGAAAAACTTCTCTCGGCCGAGACGCTAGTAGATGGTAGGGTCAATATTAAAGAAAAAAGGTTATATGCTTCAGGTAAAACTGTGTTTATCCCTTCAAGCTCAAATATTTTCACTAGATCATAAATATGATTTGGATTTTGATAGTTAGTATCACTGTATAACACTTCTAACTCCGCTTAAAAGATAATAGAGATAAAAGTGATTAGTGGAAATGTGAATTAGTGACAACAGATAGACGAAATTGTACGAAAAGAAGATAACTGCAGTATTGTAATCATGGACTAAGATATAGCCGTGATTGTACGTCGTTTTGCTGATTTGTACGCAGTGTCACCAACACTAATTCAATAATTATATTGTACATTAATATTTTCTTCGGCCGAGCCAATGGTTACATGCCGCCTCAACCGTCGCCTATGGAGTGCGTGTGCAATGCGTACGGTGCGTGTGCGTGCGGGTTCGGATTATTTAGTAATATTAAATACACCTAGACGTGAGAGGCACCGACAGCGATCGCTCGATAACGACCGTGATGGATACGTAATCCTAATGCTATTTTGAAAATGCCGAATGTTGTACGAAACGTAGGTAGGATGACGCCGTGAAATTCTAAATTTACCCTGAAAGAAACGGAAAATGTATTGGGAAAATTACACCAACTAGGGACGCTACCGCGAATTTCAATAAAACAATTTTATTTCGTTTCCGTAGTTTTTTCCGTTAGTATATTACACAAATAAGTTATGTTCTTAGTTATATCAAATTATAATATTTGTAGTTTATTAATTTGCTGAATTTTATAAAATAATGGTGATAATACTTACTTTTTCCAGAACAGTCATTTTGGATTTTTTTTTCGTTTTTAATATTCTTAACACGCACAACTCGCTCATACAAAGCGCAAGAGAGAAATGACCATTGATAAGTATTATACATTTGTAACAGTTACCAATAGTGGGACAACTCACGTGTAATGATACGGGACGCAGAAAATAGCGCTCCCCGCTATGGCGGGATACACTAATAAATCGATAGTAATTCTTTTGTCCAGTTAATAGATAGCGGATTGTTGATAGCGCGACAGTTGATAGTGGTCAATTTATAGCGCGTAAATTGATGGCGAGCGACTTTTCATAGTAAGACAAAATGTATTATAGCGTACTGAATAAAACTGACAAACCAAAAACCGATAAAATATGTTACCTATATAGAGTATCGTCGTATCGGACACTCAATATTTCAATATTACTATCTTAAATAATAGGCAATTAAAATAATGAGACTATTCATCATTAAACTAACATAAAATGTACTTAAATAGTATATACTATATATTTACTATTGTAGTATAGTATATTAGACTTAGTTGCTCAGTAGCGGTGTAACACCGTATAACAGTGTTACGCCTAACAGTTACCTAGCAGTTAAAATTTTAAAATGTCTTTAAAATATATTAAGAGTGAAAGGTGATCAAATATATTAGTTGATGAAGGTTTTATGTACCATTAAAAAAAAAAAAAAAATGGAGATTAATAAATTTTAAAAATAAATGTAAGGGCCGTCTGCATGTTATTAGTAATCTCAATAATGAGAACATTTCAAAAAATATTGAACATAACCATGTTCCTGATATCACGCAAATAGAAGTTAAACTTCCTTCTAACTTCAATAAACTAGTAATGTGACTTGCAATATTTATTACCATAATCATTTTTTTTAATAATTGTTAGGTTATTGAATTTTGTATGACGCTAAAAATTGTTTAACTGTGAAAAGTCGCTTGCGATCAATTTACGCGCTACAAATTGCACCTTATCAGTGGTCGCGCTATCAATTATCCGTTATCTATTGACGTATATCCAGTAATTCTACTATTAACCATATCGATTATATTTAAATTTTATAACATACGTAACCATGAACAAACATGATCCACTCTGCTCAACTACACTTTAAACACTTATAACTAGGGCTCGGATTTGAATACAAAATGCAGTATTTTTTTTAAAAAGTCCCATGTTTTTCAAGTAAAAAATCCTTATCATTCGTCAGATACAGCTATTTGTCGTTTTTATGATTTTGATTATTCATTATATACATTTTACTTAGGAATAATTAAAAAAATTTGTTCCGACCATTTATCATATTTAGTGACTCAACTAGCCCAAACATTTTAGGGTTTTCCTAAAAATTAATCCAATGGAGCTTCGCTCACATTCACATCATGATTGTATATCGTATATGGCAGCGCTATCTAACTAGTAATTTGAGCAGCTGTGCTGGCCCCTTCTTCACGTACGCGTAAGAGTTTACGGCAATAGATAGAGCTGCTGTTATCGAATTTATTTTAATCTTAATAATAATACCGGCGTAATAATTAATATGCTAAATATTAATATTGGCAACGTTAGGTTATTGGATTAAACCTCACTAAGCCTAATCAAACCCAACCCAACTAAACAGAACGTGGCTCGGGTAGTCTGATCGTGACTGTTCAATTATTATGCACCTACAACCTAAATGAAATAACTCATCTGTAATCACTCCATCACCTTAATTATACTCTATATTTTACCTATGATTTATGATTTAAAGTAAAATGAAAATAACAAACAACGAATATTATCTACCTCAAATAAATTGAAATTTTAAAAACATTTATCGCCTACCCATTGTTACGGTCAGTTGTGAGTATCCAAAAGTCAAAAGTTAAGTTTGTAATAGCTTAGTGCTGAATTACTTTCATAAAAAGGAGCTAAATGGACCCCGGTTCATCCCAGATGCCCGATTCACACCATCATTTTGAGTTATTGTGCTGTCACTAGTGTGTTAAATTGTGAAATAATTTTTAGGTCCTTGTTAATAATTATTTATATAGTTAATAGTATAATATAATATACTAGTTAAAGGAATCCTATTATACTGGATATTTGACATAATCGAACATGTCTTATTTTTCACACTATTTATCAGCATAGGAATATTGTCAGCAAATCAAAATACAGACATTTTATAAACTTAGTTATACTAACTTATAAAACTTTTCATAGTAAAACAATTTTTAGAGTCATACAAAATTCAAAACCCTAACAATTATTAAAAAAAATGATTATAGTAATAAATATTGCAAGTCACATTACTAGTTTATTGAAGTTAGAAGGAAGTTTAACTTCTATTTTCGTGATATCAGGAACATGGTTATGTTAAATTTTTTTTAAAGATGATCTAGCTACACAACTAAAGAAAACTAAATTTAGCATTCTGACTGATGAATCTACAGACAGTGGTACAATGAAAACAACTTGTGTGGTAGTGAGGTAAAAAATTTAAAATAATAGACAAATAATGTAGTATTTAAATAATCTTTTAAATATACTATTTTCAGATTGTATGATGAATCAACAAAACATGTAGAATCAAAATTTTGGGAATTGCATGATGTATTTGATATCCCAAATGACCAACAACCAGCAGCGACAGCTGAACATTTATTTAATTGCCTGATTGAAACATTGAATCGTTTTAAAATTCCATTAGACAATATAATTGGATTCGGCTCTGACGGTTGCAACGTGATGATGGGCTCTAAGAATTCAGTGGCAACTCGATTTCGTCAGATGTGTCCAGGTATTTTTATACTAAAATGAATATGCCATAGTGCACATTGATGTGCATCAGAAGCGTGTAAAAAAATACCAAGATCATGTGAGGATATGGCTCGGAATATTTTTAACTTTTTACACAGCAGTGCTAAACGGCAAAGTAGTTTAAAACAGTTCCAATTGTTTATGGATCTTAAACCAAAAAAAATTTTACACCCTTCACAAACAAGATGACATTCTTTAGAAGCTGTAGTAAACAGAATTTTGGAACTATGGGAAGCCTTAAGACTATATTCCAACGATACATATTTGGACCAAAAACTTCTTTCAACAAAACAGATTTATAATTCTTTAAATGATAAATTCATAAGATTATACTACTTTTTTTTAGCGTGGATACTACCCAAATTTAATGAATTTAATAAATATTTCCAAACTCAAAAAGTTGTCATCAATGATCTACATGATAAAATTCGAATTTTATATCAGGAAATTTTGTTATCCTTTTTAAAAAGAAATTATGTACTACAAAATGATCTCAGTAGTGTGAGACCTGACAAAACATCATCTTCCTGATAATCAGTTGTATTTAGGTGCTCAAGTTCTCAAATATATAAATGCACCTGAATTAGCAAACAAGAATGAAGAGAAAAAACACTTTTTCAAGAGTTGTAGACATTTTTTGCAAACCGCTGCTTTAGAACTAAAGAAACGGTATAACATGGACGATTCTGTATTGAGTAAGCTGCCATCATTGAGTGCAAAAAATGCCCTATCCATTGAGTACCATGATTTGCATCCAACTCTAGTTCCATTAATATCATTAATGACAAGAATAGTGCCAGAAAATAGTGTTGGATTAATTCATAAGATAGATGACCAGTGGCGTAGTCTTCCATTAAAAATGATGCACATGCCTGACTCCATTACTGATTTACAGTATGCCAATGGATCTCCTGATATGTTTTGGTAAATTATTTAATTTTTTAAAGTAAAGTAGGTATATTTAATAATTTTAAAAACGTTATTTCAGGTCTAGCATCAAGGATTATGATTTGAAAACTGAAGCAATAGGACAAGAACTTCCAAATTTTGCATTATCAGTTCTTTGCCTACCACACTCAAACGCAGACTGTGAGCGAATTTTTTCCAGCGTTAATGCTATAAAAACAAAGCATCGTAACAAGTTAATAACCGAAACTATAAATGGTACTATACTAACAAAAGAGTGTATAAAGGGCGGAAGATCTCAAACAAAAAATTGTGTGAACTTTGTTCCTAGTAAGTTAATGATTAATAGAATGACCAGTAAAACATTATATACTAAAAACGAAATCTCGTCTGATAGTATTTCTGCTGATATATTTTATTCAGCTGACGAATAAAATTATTTTAATTACTGGCAACTATATATTTTTATTTCTAAGTTAAAAGTATTATTTATGTGCAATTTGTTAACTATACCTACCAACAGAACAAATAAGTATTATTTGTTACAATTTTATTTTTAATATTAAAATGTTAAGTTCGAATTGTTATTGATTAAAGAAGAAATATTATGTTCTTTTTTTGTTTTTATGTTTAAGTTAATACAGCTATTTTGCAATTACATTGTTAAAAATATTTAAAATCAGTTAATCTTTATATTTTATTGTATATTTGTTATATTATGTTTAATTATGTTTATTTAAGCAATAAAACAGTGATTTAGATACTTATATTTTTTCATGTTCTTAACTAATCCCTTTCAAGATAAAGTGTGTTTAAAGCATTCTAGATAACTATGATAATATGGAGGTATTGTGATGCAGCATAGATAATAATGAATTAATAAATATTATTTCTTAATTATCAAATGTATGAGAAATTAATTAATTTGTAATAAATAATTTCGCAACACTGGGTATGGGGATAAAAGTTCAAGTGAGCTTTTTTTTTTGTGTACGAGAATTGAAGTTCAAATACCAGAATTTTGGGAAGCTTGATACGAGATTTTGACCATAGGTATCTGGCAACACTGCACGAGAGTTGTCCCACTATTGGTAACTGTTACAAATGTATAATACTTATCAATGGTCATTTCTCTCTTGCGCTTTGTGTGAGCGAGTTGTGCGTGTTAAGAATATTAAAAACGAAAAAAAAATCCAAAATGACTATCCTTGAAAAGGTAAGTATTATCACTATTATTTTATAAAATTCAGCAAATTAATAAACTACAAATATTATAATTTGATATAACTGAGAACATAACTTATTTGTGAAATATACTAACGGAAAAAACTACGGAAACGAAATAAAATTGTTTTATTGAAATTCGCAGTAGCGTCCCTAGTTGGTGTAATTTTCCCAATACATTTTCCGTTTCTTTCAGGGTAAATTTAGAATTTCACGGCGTCTGCTTCAATCCGGTCTGTTACCGTGTTTTATTTCAATCTTGAACGCGATCGTTGGCTTCATAAATCCCTACCTACGTTTCGTACAACATTCGGCATTTTCAAAATAGCATTAGGATTACGTATACATCACGGTCGTTATGTAGAAAGTACCAGAAGTGGTGATACATTTCATAAGACTATTTACCTCGAACCTGAAATTTGTCACCATCATGGACCCACCTCAATAGTGTGATAATTATGATCATCATTAAAGGAGCACACAACACAAATAAAAAAATTCTTTAAATTTTTTTTAAATGTTAAATTATTGTAGTTATGGTTATATGAAATGATTTTGTGAAGATACGATGTAAAAAAAAATATTACTTTAAGAGATATTAAGAGATGTAGAATAGCCGCGTGACGTCACTAGGCCGGAGTCATCGTAATTACCTATCTTATACGTGTAAAAGTTCCTTGCTTCACACAACGATTTATCAACCTAAATATTTTCTTTTTGAAATTTAATTGACGTATAAATGTGTGGTTTTATGTGTTTAAGACGATGCAAGAATCAGAATTTCAATAAGACGTTTAGTTTTTTAAGTATTAAAAATCTTAAAACAGACATTTTGGTTAAATGGCGGACCCGTTCGAACGCCATGCGCCGCTCGCCATGACGTGCGGTTTAACCAAAATGTCTCTTTTAAGATTTTTAATATTTAAAAAACTAAACATCGTATTGCAATTCTGATACTTGCATCGTCTTAAACACATAAAATCACACATTTATACGTCAATTAAATTGCAAAAATATATAACACGTATAAGATAGGCAATTGCAATGACTCCGGCCCAGTGACGTCACACGTCTTTTTTCAATTGCTCATAATTTATTGAATAATGTGAGTAGAAACGTAAAACCTATACCATTATCCTTAGAATTGAACATTCTTTCAAATAAAAAAAACTTATTTTTTGTGTTGTGTGCTCCTTTAAGGTTTATTATGTTTGGCACAATAAGTTGACTGACTTCTGAAGACTAACCTATTTTATTAGTTAATAATTGTGTGAATCATAGAAATCAAATATGGATTATGTACAAAAAGGTGTTACTTACTTCTTATTTAAGTAATTTAATGTTACTAGAGTCTATTGAAAATTAGAACATTTGATTGTGAATTATTTGGTATAAATTTTAATTGTGTTCATTGTTAAATCCCAATAAATACTAAAATAATGTTTTATTTTATAGAAAACTCCAACAAATGTCGATGCTCCTTCTTCCATCATGAATAGGATAATCTGTATTACAGTTCTGAGTCCTGATGCAAGTAGATTTTTGGCCCGTGTTAAAATGACAACCCCACTTGGAAGAATAATGACAGCATATTGTGAAATAAATGTAAGTATAGTATTTTATAATATTTTTTTATCAAAAAGTATTAGCAATTGGAATTATTAAAATTATAGTCACTGAATTATAGACTAAATGCCCATGTAATTTTGTCTATTTGTAATAATAAATTATTTTTAAAAAGGATGTATTTCACCTTAAAAACATTAAAAAATGCAAATATTTATTTTAAATATTTTACTATACAATTGTATATTATATATTTGTCAAAGCTTACACATTTGAAATTACTCAAAATATGACCTACAAATGACAAATGATGTCTTTAAAAATGAAATAAAAACAAATTACTTAAAATTTAAAATCATTGCAATTAGAGCTTTTTTGATGTTATCAAAAGATTTACTTTACGAATATTATCTGCTAATAAATATTTATATTTTGAAAAACTTCTCTTCACGTTCACTGAAGTGATTTTGACAAATCGTAACATTCAGCAACATAGGTTTTTCTTGCGTGATTCGTTAGGAATAATTAATAATATTTTTCCAAAAATGTACGGAATAATTCATTTGATATTTTGTGTAGAGGAATATTGGCTAATAAAAGAGCTCGACATAAATCGTAATTAAAAGTAGATTTTTTTGACGTCGTAGTAAGAAAACTTTGCTTTGTTTTAAATGTTTGCGTTCTATACCATTTTTATTTTTTATAAGGGAAATATATTGTTCAATAGTAAATTTTTTCCGCCAAAAAATGCAGAAAGTGCAAAAAAAAATTAGTTGCTCAGATTAACATGCTAATGAAACACATTTGTAGCCAAGACAATATCGTCTAAAAAGTTCCAAAAAAAAAAAAATGCAATATGCATCAACTTCCAAGCCCTAACATGAGTAACTAGTGTTACTTCGTTTGAGATATGAAACTCGCACAGTTGTGACAAGTATTAGTCGTTAGCATTTTTATACCAATAATGATAACCAAAACATTTCACTCTCCAGAGAGTACAATTTCCAACACGCAGAGAAAAAAGTCTGCTGATCATCAATTCTTGATGTGTACCCGTTGGCCTATGCTAGTACATAAAGGACATTTGGTAGAACGGAGTAGCAAGTAAATTTTTCCATGGGTAACCGAGACCTTTTATTTTATTAGTATTACTATAACATAGTATTAATGTTAAAATGACGTATTTGTGCTTCTGCCATACACCGTTCTACAAGTAAAAAGTCACAAAAATAAATCTTGACACATAAGCTTGATAACTTTCAACAGTGTGTGTTGTCAACAGGATGTGGCATCCTTTTAAATAGTATAAAAATACGGTGAGCATTGTATGTGTAAGATTCGTCAATGATGAATAATTATTAAATTTAAAAAAATAATATTATTTGAATTTGATATTGATATTTTTTGTTTTTCTGTATGGCTAGTATTATAACTATACCTATGGGCCTGCTTAATGGTTTATAACTACAATATATTTTTTTAATTCATTCAAAATTTTAATATTTTAGAACATTCGTGAGACAGATGTGGTGTTCCGGTTTGATGGGAGAAGAATTTCTAGTACCGATACTGCTTTGTCATTTTCAATTATAGATGGTGACATGATCGATGCCATTCACTCGAATTAATTACTACTTATTAATTTATACTTCATTTGTACATCCTACTTATGTAAATTACCTTATTTTATTTCAAAATGTAATTTTTTATAAATTCATTGAAAATAATATAATGATTCATATTTACTTATTTATTTGCAACTTTATCATTGGACATATATAAGATACATAATTAGCACAATAAATTTGCTCTGCTTCTTTAACCATGCTTGAGATGGAGGTAAGAGTTCTTATGGTTATATAAAAAAAGATAATATTTTTAAAATATTACATATTTTAAATATATAAGTAAATTTACGTACATATTAATAACCTATAAACAATAATTGATTATAACTTTTAAACAAATTTAACTTATAAAGAATGTACACAAGATATATAATAAATAAGGTTATGAATTTAATGCACTAAAGGACTTTAAAAAATGCATTAAAAATGGCAATAAAATGCTAAACCGTATAAAATTAATTTAAAATGATTTTTAATTTAATTTTAATATTTATATTAATATTAGGTACAAGATATTATACATTAGTACATTACACGCATAAAAAAGTATTTATTTCATAAAAAAAATTTATAAAAATGTTGAATGAATTTCAATTTACTAAACTTAATGCTATTTACCTGAAACATTTTTTAAAAATAATAATTCAAATTATGTACTTACAAAGCTACGTTTCACAATCACCAAAAAAAAAATGGACTGTCCTTCAAATTTACAGTGCTAATAATAAATAATTACAAAATTTCCCTAAACTAAATTTTGAGTAAGGCATTTTTTAAACAAAAAATATTTTGATATAAAAAAAAATTAATATTTAAGACTTGATAATACTAGTTGCATTGGTAAAAAAACTTCTATTCTGTACCAGAAGGTAACGCAGGATTTTAGTTCGATTAGTGCTTTAACTGAGCAGGTAAATAATTTACATTATTTTTTGCTTAACAGTTTTTATATAATTAGTTATATCAAATTTAGTCTACATTTAGTAATTTAATAAAGTGGTTTAACCTGGTCGCTTCTCCGGGCCGTAATAAACGTGGTAAGAATTCAAAGAACGATGAAACATAATCATATATTATACGACAATTATATCATCAACAAAAAAAAACCGAAACCATGATTATCGATGTCTTAGTCATATTTAACAATTTATTTTATATCTATTAAAAATGAACAATAATTGATCTACTCTGTGTATCGAAATGGTGGTAAATAAGAATTTTTTGTAGAAAGAAGATATTTCAGGGGGGTCAGAACCCTAGAACCCTACTCTCCACTGTACTGTACTATTGTCTTTTATTTTTATACATGCAAAACTATAATTTAGAACGATGCAAATGTGCAGTATGAATTATAAATCTATTGATCACAAAGTAGTGTTGTCCAATTAAACCAAGAACACAAGATCGCGATCGCACATAGTGAAATTTACCTTTAGACAAGGTATAAATTAAAATTAATAATTCGTGTTCTAAGTAATATTTTATTTAAATTAGTATTGTAATAATAATTATTTAATCAAGACACATTTAATGTTACGTAGAATTTATTAATTTGACTAATGGGTTGGTACAATATTTAAATATAATACATATTATGTAAAGTACGTCATAAATTATAATTTATTTTAAATGACTGATAAGTAGTTAGGTATATTAACTAATAATTGACAGGTGATATAATTATTTATTGTAATTTTTGGATGTGTTGATAGTAGCCAGTAGGTTTTGTAAATCTTGCCTGTAGTTTTCAGTTTTTTGTACATAAGTTGCATGGATTGTATCGAAATTTGTGTTATGGATTTTAGTTATATTATTTAAAAAAATTTTGATTAAGTTGATTTTTTTCGTGAATTTTTGAAATAGTTGTGTTCTGTTGATTGGGGCTTGAAATTTGGGAATGTGTTTTGAAAATAAAGTTGTTGGAAGCTGAAACAAACACACAATTAGAAAGATGATATAAATTTGTGAACCATTGGTGCCTTCCCAGAAAGCATTTTGTAATGATAATATTATAATAATATTTATATACTAAAAATTGCAGTCTAGGTTAAAACAAACGAATATAATTACATTGTAAAAGACTGCCGTTCTCATGTACACGTCTTCTTTAATGTTAAAAATGTCTTTTATTATGTATATATTTTTATATTTTTTAATTTCTTCATCAATCATAGATAAATCTGCTTTGTATTTATTTGTATTTATTCTGGTTAAGTAATTTTCTTTTACTAAGTGCAATAGTACTTGTTTTGTTCCAGACTTGTTTATGAATCTATGTCTTATAATACACATAACTATTTCAATGTGTTTAAATATATTGGACAACTATAAGGAAAATAATTGTAATTTCATTAATACACTTTAAATAATTATATAGTAAGTAAATTTCTAAACATTATAACATACTGTGTGTTTATTTGTCATTAATGCATTTTCATAGTACATATAAATGCACGCCAAAACCAAATTTTTGTTAAAATCCATATCAACCCTAATTGGAATGAAAAATTGAACTATGGATTCATCATCAACAACAATACTGACATTTCCAAGTGTTGTTGGCAATCTATTTTTTTATAAATTAATATAAAATTATAATGTTTAAAGAAGAATTAATTATTTTAGTGATAGAATATTGTTTTTTATGTGGTTGACTATATCCCATGTCAATGAATGGTTGGGTCCACCATCTTTCCAAAGTGGATATAAACGACTTGAATTCCTTGTCCACAGCATAGATATTGTTCGTTGTTATGAACGATGTGTTATTCAGTATTGAAGTTTTAGTATTCAGTTTTCTGCCGTAGGAATCAATAAAACCATGGATTTGTTTAGAGTAGGTGTTAATATAATTCACAATTATATACAATTGCACCAACTATTTTTTTTTTATACAAAGAGCTTTTAATACGCCAACTTCGCAGACTTGGCCACTGAAAAATGGGATGCAATATAATTAGTTTGCTCAAATTATAGTCATTATATAAGCGATATATTACGCAATTTCACTTACCTATAGAGCATATGAGTTGAGTTATAGAATATCATAGCCGATATCATATAATCTATATCTTGTATACTGTTCATGTACTTGAGATTTTCTTCAAACGTTTCAGATGGGGAGAATGATGTAGGTTGGCTGTTATTGAAAAAATTTATTGTGTCTATGGAAATAGTGTCTGAATGTTTTTGAATAGGGAGTTTTACTGTTATTAAGAATTGTGAGTAATGTTTAATTGTTTGACTTTTTAAAATATCTTTCGATTGTTTTTTGAGTAGTGCTATTTTTTTCCCCCTATTTTTTTGTCGTATTTAGAATTTACATAATCGGTTGCTATTTTGTTTATTGAGTTAGGATGTGAAGTTATAATTTTTTTTTTCAAGCCCCTCATCTTTTATATATTTTACAATATTACCAACGTTGGTGTATCTTGAAAGTACCTGTTATTAAATATTGTGTAATTATTGTTATTTGTGTGATTGTAAATATATTATAAAAATTGTTACATACATTTACTTTTTTATTGATAAAATACTGAATTGAATCACAATTTTTTATCATTAAAACGTTTAATGAAGTAACGCTTTCCATGTTTGAACCATAACTTTTGAGGTAATGGTACAAACTAGTTGAAGTCATTAGTGTGGTGCTGGGAAAGTGCAACATTGAAGAAGCAATCGCCATTATTACATTCTATTAAAAATAAATGAATACCATTTTGTATTGATAATATTACAAACAAATTTGTAAAGTAAAATTTAAGTGTCGGATTATCTAAAAAAGTCATGAATAGCTTACCGTTGGACGTTCCCTGGGTATATCCGAACCCTTTTTGAAATGAACAAAACTTAAATGTGATAAAAGAGTTTGTTCATGCATAAAACTTTTAACACAGAATAAACACTTCATGGTAATAAATTTATACTTCTTCTCTTGTTCATCATAATTTCTTTCAATCCCCTCTAGCAAATTAACTAAAAAAAATAAAACAAACAATTCTGATAAGTACATATCGCTCTGCTGTACAGTAGGCAGTAGTGGTTCGTAGTAGATTAGCACAGAGTGCGATGAAGAAATTCGACTATTTTAACAACCGATGATTTACTAAGGAACTTCGGTTATTTTTTAATAATTTTGCAAAACTATAGTTTAGCATACGGTTGCCGTATGATGCAAGATATTCGTACTTTCTGCGGTAATCATCTCCTCATCGCTAACCAGTTCAAATGTTATCCCTCAAAATATATTCACAGGATAGCAGACTACCTCCTCTTTCCAAGGAAAGATATTTTTTATAGCTGTAGGGTGGATGGTTATTTTTAAATAATTGTGCAAAGCTATAGTTTAGCGTACAGTTGCCGCATGATACCCAGGATTACATATTTAACAGGATTACTATATACCCAGGATTACCATATACTCAGGATTACATATATAACAGGATTACTACATACCCAGGATTACATATATAACAGGATTATAAACCTATAGATATCTACCGGCATAGTGCATTTTGTGTCCGCCCGGCACTTATATCCCTCGATTCTACATGACTTACTCAATACCCCCAAATAGTTTTAAGTCCCCTGGTAAGCGAATTGGACTTGTAGTGTTAGCTAAACGTGGTATTTCACCGTAGTAATCCTGCACCAATATACCGTTTTCTGGACAACTCGACTTCACCACCACTTTATGCAAATTGTTAGTATCCAAAATGCATTTCCCAAAAAGATGACATCCTAACGAATCCTGGGATATGATTGGCTAAGTCGCAGTACAATATTTCGATTTTTAATGAATTATAAACCGAATCGTTTCTACCGGAGTAGTGCATATTACGTCTTCCTGATGCATATCATAGTAAATAAAATTACTAAAAATCCAATTAAATAAATAACAAATTTACATGTTATAAATCCTTAATAGGCATACACTACCTTCTGAAAAAGTTCAAATGTATAAAAAAAAAGCTGTTAAGTGGGTGTCACTCTGCTGTAGAGTTAGTGACGAGCACGGAGAATTCCATACATTATTTCTAGACCTACTTCAGGATGAAGCCAATTTTTTTAAATATTTCCGGATGAGTTCGCAAAAATTTTTTGAACTGCTTAAAATGCTGCCGCAACTGCAAAAGCAAGATACAAATTTTAGACGTTGTATTCCTCCGGATGAAAGATTAGCAATCACCCTAAAGTAAGTAAACATAGTTTTAATTTATTAAACAAAAGCAATTAATATATTACTATTTATTAAACAGTGTTAAGCACTATTAAAAATTAAGATAGGTTTTAAAAATTACTATACATTTTTTTTTGTAATATAACCTGCAAAGAATTTATTTATTTTAAAAATTATAAAACCTAATTAAAATATTTTATTAAAAAAGATGTATACAATTTAGAAGTTTATTAATTATATAGTATAAATGTAGGTACAGTTATTTAAACAATTAATATAATAATGAGACATTTTTAATTATGAAAAATACCTAAAATAAAATATTTAAATAAAAGTCTAATATGTGACATTTTAGAGGTTGTAGTAATTATTTTCTACGCTGTTAACTTCAAAAAAATCTTCATGGCCACTACTAGGATTTTCTGTTACCGAAGAGGCTGTTAAATAACCAGTCACGTTTTCATAACTAACACGATGTCCATGATTGGAAAAATCAACTGGTCTACTGGAAGAAGCAGTTGGCGTAATACCTACTTGATATTCGTTGGTAGAGGTGCTTTGAAGTGACGAAGCAATATTATTTTTATTTTCATTGGAAAGATAAGCTTTCATCTCCAAATCCGAGAGTAGCGCACTTATTTTGGCCTTTGATTCAATTTTGAAGAATTGGAGGCAGTCTCCTAGTGGTTGCTTCCATGGCAACAAAAAATGCCACAATATGATCACTAGGTGATTCTAATTTGGCTTTTTTTTTGAAGCTAAGTATTTTTCCAGAACTTGAGCAGTCGTTGGCTGTGGATGAAGTGCTTTATTACTTTTTTTGTTACTACTCGGAATAGTGTCTCTATAATCGGTTATACTAGAAACAGGCGTTGTGGCTGCAGTTGAAGACGAAGATGATGAGGGAAATGTGTTCGAATTCGTAGAACTATTTGGGACTGATAACTGATCTAAATTTCCAAAAGATATATTTATTTCATCATCTTGAATAAAAGTTTCGTTGTTGATCGAATCTGTTGAATTATTTTCAGGAGCTAAATTTGATTTTTGAGCCCTCTCCCTCATGTGTGGTAGTAAAAAAGATAATTTGTCTTCATACCTCCATTTCACACGTGTGTCTGCACTCTGACCACTTACTGTTTTCTTCTTTAAAATATTTCGCCAAAATTGGTCGCGAAGACTGGTCCATCTTTTTTTTGCATTCTATGACTAAAAAGTAGAATTTATTTTTCCATTTAGTAAAAAAACTTGAAAATTGAATGCAACATCTGCATCCAGTCTTATAAAATATACTTATGTAATTGCTTGTGCAATTCTAAAAAAATTGTTCCTAGATACATGAAATTTTCACTGGTTGTTTTTATTAGTATTTTATATATATGATACAATTTTTAAAATATTTTGACTTGTTTTGAGCTGTTTACGGATATACTTCGTTTTCAACTTTTTTAGATTTTTAGTTATTTTACGTTCAAATTTGGATGAATTACATATTAAATAACCAAGAAAAACGATTTTAGTTATTTTGATGTAGGTAATCTTATAATATTAAATAAACTTACTGGCTACCGTATTTATAATAACTAATACGTAATAACAATATAAATATAATATAAAATATCCACATGACAAACCGTCTCAGCTCAGAATCGTTTTTCGTATACAATGACATTACATCATTAAGTTCATATTAAATACCACCACCATCCATAAAACAGTTACCCACTTGCAACCTACTGTATAGCAAAGCGACATCCACTTACCCACCTTTCAAATATTGTTCGACCGTAATTGTTATAGAATATCATCTCAATCTTCAAGCATTTTAACACAACGAATAAATAAATTTTAAGTCCATGAAAAAATAAATTGTATTGACATTTGTATTAAAAAACAGAAACATTTTTAATTTAAAATATTCGTTAACAGCTCAAACCAAGTCAACATATTTTGAAATATTTATGGTGTATATAAAATGTTATTATAAACATTTAGTGTTAAATATCATGTATTTAGGGTAATTTGTTTTAGAATTAAATACCAAAATCGATTTTGTCAAAATCTAAATTTGTGTAAAATTTCAGTTTTTCCTTATTTTTCTGTTGTGCTTTTAAAAACGACTGAGAATTTTAAATTTTAACTTAATCAAATTTTTATTTCGACTATACTTTTATTGTGTATACAGATACAAATAAAAAAAAAACACACATCATTGTAGAATCAATACATATCATTGCTTCGCTCAGAATCTATGATATGATTAATATTTGGATGAATAATTAATCAATTATAAATACATTTATATAAATTTATTAATAATTATGTTTTCAAATTATTCGAATTATTTTTTTTTAAATTATTATGTTGACAACATTTTGCACAACTCTGGTATTATTATATCAAAAAATATATATTAATATTATAAATTATAGCCGTCTGTTAAAAGCAACTATTACAACTATTTAGCGACCAATTTTATACGACAAAATAACATACTTATCTACGTTTCCTTTTTTGACTTAATTATGAATTTTTGAAAGTTGTATGTTTTGAATGCAATGTACGAGTTAATATATGCAAAGTATTTAGTCCTGGACATTCAAAAAGATGGTCATTTTCCAATTATTACGAACATGTAAAAATACACAAAAAGAAATCTGCTCAATCTGTTCCTAATAAAATTAAAAATAAACAAACACTTACACTTGATAATTATATACAAATAACACAGGGTGTAACATCACAACAAACACTCGGGGACCTTCAACATCTCCAAGTATAGAGATCCTTAAAGAAACGATAACTAAAACCCCTACTAAAACTGCCGACCAAGAAGACCTCAATTGTCAGCCAGATTTTCAGAATAGCAAAGTTATGTTTGAGACGAATAACTTTTGCGATTTAAATTTTCAAACGTCTCAAGTATTGTCAAATACAAATGAAAATAAGTGGAAGAGTACAAAATACCAGAGAAGTGAAAGAGAAAAACGTCGAAGAGAGCGATCATTGGTTACTGGAGAATTTAAACAAACACTTATTACAAATTACATTCCTGTGCTTGACGAAGTTAGTAAATAAATGGAAAATAATGAAAACTTGCGTAATATGTTAGTGCATAACATAGAGGAAACTGAGGGTGATAATGTTTTGTCGGTTCAATCAGCCGTACTTGAATCAAATTCTTTGTTAAAATGTTTATACGAATGTGCTGAAAAAAATAAAAAGTCCAGTAAATATAAACACCGCAACAGATTTGATGAAGAGTTAAAGATTATATATTTATTGTTGGAGGTAGACTGTTGTATGAAACTTTACATGCAAATATGGATCGAGTTTTACCATCAATAACAACAATATTCCGTTATCTTGACAATACTCAAAGTAAAGTAATAGAAGGCAGTTTTAGATTCAATGAACTAAGAGTTCATCTAATAAAGAAGAATCCACCACTTAAGATATGGATAAGTGAAGATACTACTAGGATTACGGGAAAAATTGAATACGATGTAAAATCAAATAAAATAGTAGGTTTTGTTTTACCTCTTATGAATGGTTGTCCAGTGCCTAATGCATTAATAGCAATCTCTGCAAAAACTATTGCACAGTATTTCAATTCTGAAAGTAGAGTCAACTATGCTTATGTAATAATGGCTAAACCATTAAACGACACTGCCGCGCCCTTTTGTTTGTCTATTTTTGGAACTAACAACCGTTTTTCTAACGAAGACGTAATAAATAGATGGGTATTCATGAAAACTGTTGCTTCTGAACAAGGGATTGAAATATTAGGATTTTCATCAGATGGTGATCCTAGATTACTTAAAGCAATGCTACTCCAAAGCATTGGTACAAGTATTAGTACAATGAATGATGAAATGTTAGAGAAGAATGCGAAGGTGAGCAGTTGGTCTTGGTTTATAATTGGAGAGCCACCAATTATTCTTAACCAAGAACAAAATAAAGAAATATACATTCAAGATACAGTTCATATTTTGACAAAATTACGAACGCGATTTCTTAAATCAAATATTATCATACCAATGGGTAATTATTTTGCAACGGTAGATCATCTAATGGAGTTAACTAGAACATTTTCCAAATACAAGCATTTGTTGACAGTTTCCGATCTTCAGCCTGAGGACAAAATGAATTTTTCATCTGCAGAAAAAATGTGTTCTACTAACGTATTGACTATTTTAGAAAATATTCCAAATACACATGCAACAATTGCCTACCTAAAAATTATGAATTATATTTTAACAGCTTTTTTAAATAAAGAAGTAAGTACTGAAGAACGAATTTATAAAATGTGGTTCAGTGTATTTTTTCTACGAATTTGGAAAATTTGGCTGAAAAATAAAAGTGAATTTAATGCGGGAAATAATTTTATAACTACTAATTGTCTGAATTTCATAGAAATAAATGCCCATTCACTGATACGCCTTGTTATAAAATTTCGAGAAGATAAAAACTTAAGTCCAGAAATGTATACGATATGGAATTTTAGCAGCCAAACGTGTGAGCGATTTTTCAGAGCAACTCGGTCACTTACAAGTACTTACTCAACTGTTGTTAACTTTTCTATGAAAGACATTATGTCAAGACTTAAACTGTTGAATCAATAAACGAGATTAAAGCTGAATTATTAAATTCAAAAATAGACATTAAATTTACTCGAGAGAAAACATCAACTAAAACAGTAGAAACAGATTTCTCATATTTTTCTAATAATACTATTTTAAATATTAAACATAGAAGTTCCAATGATGCAAAGGAAATCGCTGAAACTCATATTGGAATGATCGTAAACAAAGATTTAGTTTTTGAAAAGCCATTATTTTTTAGCAAAACTAACAGAGAAAAAGATAAAGTTATTGAAGAAGAACTTAATGCAGATTTATCACATAGCAATTTAATTAATGAAACAGACTACTTAGATTTTGCTGAAGATGTTAATAATATTAGCGAGATATTGAATTGTGGTAATTCCCTAAATCTTCAAGATTTCAGTGAACAAATTTTAAACAAATATTC